TTGCTGCAGCTGCAACAGTTGTTGCTGCTTCTGCTGCTGCTGCTGCTGCCGTTGCTGTGTGTGGCATCTTCTGGAGCGGATTCCCATGAACCCCCCCAATGATGGCGCCCTGGAGGCGGAGGCGGAGGCGGGGGGTCGTGTGACCACGAATGCGCTGACATGCTGATGCTGCAACAACGAGGGGGCGGGGGGACAGGCGGACAGGGGCATTGTGTTGCTAGTTGTTAACTTTTGCGCTGTCAATGATTTTGTGGTCCAAGCAATTGAATTGATGATGACTGCTGACTAAACACAGGGCACAAGCACAAGAGGCAGCCACCGCGGGGGACGGTGACGGGGCCGGGGGCAGGGAAGCTGTTGGATCACGAATCCAGAAAACAGAAAAACAGAGGAGGTCCAGTGGAGTCCCTGCCCCTGGCCCAGCCCCTGGCCCAGCCCCTAGCCCAGCACTGCCCTGCTCCTCCATGGAACGTGAGATGCGATCAAGCATCCAATAGATGCTCCACATTCAAAATCATTCAACTAATGATGCGATGCAGCTGCAACATGCAGCCAAGAACGGTGGCAGGCAGCAGCCAGCAGCCAGCAGGCAGCAGGCAACAACATTGATAAGGAAATCCATAGAAAGTTTAATGACTCTTTCGAAGTGTAAGGGAAAGAGACAGTGTATATGCCACAAGCAGAGAGAGAGAGAGGCAGAGATAGTGAGACACACAGAGACCGAGAGAGACCGAGAGAGAGAGATAGAATAGAAATATTGCTGAAAAATTGTGCGAAAAACATTCAGAAGCCCGTGAGAACATTGACCTCCGATTGAACCGATCAGCATTGCAAAACAGCAGCAAATCTACACTGCGAGAAACTTGGACACTTTTAATGCTCCGGTGGAATGTTGCACCCGACGTTCACATGTGAATGGCACTCGCTGTGTTTCATCTAAGGGTTTCCCCATATTTTGTTCTTTTTCTACCGTTTCTACCATGGAATGTGTCCCTTCGCTTAGGGGTAATCTGAACAGTGAATCAACATCATTCAAGGCCTCATCCGATGACCCAAGGCGTGCTCGAATGTGGCCCTCCTCGAGGCTTGGATACACACGACTATCCCCCTACAGACACATACGGTATATAGTTTTCTCTGAGTGTAGCCGTTTGGTAATGAGTGCGAGCGACAGGGACAGGCAGAGAGCGAGAGAGTAAAGAGTAAAAGCAGATTGCATTCTGCCATAAAAAAACTCTACGGACTACAGTCGGGGGTCGGCTCCTATATGTCGTGTCTGTCGTGCATTGTTGATAATGATTGGATGACTTTAACCGATGCTGCCTCCCATCCATCTCGCCTCCATCTCTGATGTAACCCCTCTTCGGCCCCCCACCCCGCTCCCCTTTCATGACAGATCAAAGTTCTCTGTCTCTGTCTCTGTCTCCGACTCCGTCTCTCTCTGTCTCGCTGTGTGAATATTCCATTGGGGTTTTCGGGCTGCTGTCCCTGACATCTGGGGCCTGGTCTTTGAATGCTGATGATGGTTTTGATGTGGATGGACGGATGGACGGATGGATGGATGGATGGATGATGACAGCAATGCAGCGCAGTCGATGAGGCTGCTCTGAGGCTTCTGCTGCCACTTGTCTCCTTGCCTCATTGCCTCATTGCCTCACTGCCTCGTCGCGAGGCAATTAATTGAGCTTTAATCATGTCTTGGTCGCGGATCTCTTGGATCTGTTTTGCAATTGCCAGAGTTCAAGCCTGAATCAGCCTCCAGTTTCCTTCTCTTCCTGATTCTCTGATCTGCAAATGGACTCCTTGATTGATTTTAGATATTCTTTTGCTTCTTCTGAGTGTTTTTTAGCCTGCGAATAAATCAAAACCGTTTCCTTCCTATCCTTTGGTCATGGAACTTATGAATAATTCTGTCTATAAACCCAATGAATATTTCCATACGATCTTTTCGGGCAACTCCATGAGGGACCCCATTTTCTTGCCTTCAAAAAGGAATTCCAATGCGAATGGATCGTAGTCCCCCTCCATGTCCCCCCCCCTTTAGCCATCGATCGTTGCGACAATGGGGTTTTGCTTTGTACTATCAAATGAATGCAAATTTTGCGATTGTCGTCATCTTAATATTAATTTTAGTCGCACTTCCCCCCCTCCTGCCTCCTGCCTCCACAACTGACGTTCCCTCGCGTTTGCCCCCTCCCCCTCCCCGTTTTGGCATTTTTGTGGTCGTTGAAGTTTTCATTGTTCATAAATTTTAACGGACTTATAATGATTATCATTTATATGTCTTTCTGCCTTTTTGCCTTTCAAGTATTGCTGTCTGTCTCTCCGCCTCTTTCTCTGTCTGTCTGTCTGCAGTTGTTCCGTTCTCCCCCCCTCCCTACCCCTCTCTGTTCCGCTTTATTGCCAAAAGAAGAAAACAAGTAAGAAATCTTGCGTTTAATTTAAACATTTTTTGCATAAGCGCGAATTATGAACAGCAATAAAAAAGTACAGCACAAAAAACGAGAAAAGAGAAAGAAAAGGGGGCTTTGACGAAAGACGACACCCTAGAATATACCCTAGACCCTCTATATACCCTCTATCGTACGGGAGTGTAATACAAGGGCGTATAAGGGAGTATTATAATGGTATAGGGGCTATGATATGGCCATGGGATTTCTATTTGGACGCCATTTGATTCCTGATTCAAAGCAGAGACTGTCAAAGAAGAACGCACCTCCGAAGCAATTGGAAGCCAGGGAAGATGGAAGATATCCTTGAAAATAATAAGGTTCTTGTGGTGGAATATGATTTATGATCCGATCTGAGCTATCCAGAAAAGTTTTAAACATCTATTCGTTGTATTTTATGGAAGGATCTTTTTTTTAATATGTAAAGAAATACTCTCAAATGTTCCTCAGATTCGGGCACATCTCCGGATGCGAATGAAGCATTGATTCACTGTACAAATTTACCCATAAGCGAAAGGACACATCCGATGCAGGGATTCTGGTGCTTTTTTCTGATTAAAAACCAAAACAGATTACGATTTACAACAAAAGACCAAAAAGATGGAGATCTCGAAGGGAAAAACGAGAAAAAATATAGAAAAACCCACTCTCTCAATGATTCAGTTGGGGAATACTCCTGGTAGCCCTTGGGGGGAGTGAAAGGAATCGTAATATACCCTGTCGCTGCCCCTTAAAAGGGTATCGAAACGCGAGAGATATGGAATGAACGAATGAACGAATGAATGAATGAATGAATGTCGATTGCAACAGTCAGACTCGGAGGCAAGGGGCAGGGGCAGGGGGCAGTGGCACGAGGGCAGTGCCTGGGGTGGGGGGAAGATCTGTTTGGGCGCTAATTTGATTTTTGTTGCCTTTGCGGCGCCACGGAACAACATGCAATATTGCAGCAGAGCCAGCAGCAGCGGCAGCAATTGTTGCTGTTTTTTTACAGCTTTTTTTTTTTTTGACATTTTAAACTTGTTTTTGGCGGCGGCTCACATTTTTATTTGTATTTTAATGATCTTTCGTTGATTCGCAAGTTGATTGCGGGACAAGTTTTCACTCGGCCGGCGTGATCTGTGTATCTACACAGATACCAGCTACAGATACAGATACAGATACAGAGCCCTATTCCCACAGACACGACACCCATAAGACCCGTAAAACACCCCACAACTGGAACCGAATCGAATGGAATGGAATGGAATGGAGTGGAAAAGGGAGGAATGGGGAACTGGAACTGGAACTGAAACTGAAACTGGAATCGAATCTCTCTGGCGGATGGATGCAAATGGCTATTCATATAAACACTTTTTCGGACTTGTATCTAAACTTTAGAGTATCTGTATCTGTATCTGCATGTGCATGTGCCCCTCGGAGTATCATCTTTTTCCTCTGGGAGTATTCGTTGAATGTTTGTTGGAAATGTCAAACTTGTTTGATTCTCAAATCAGCGGCAGCAAAAGCAACCCATCGGATACATCTCCCCATCTATTGTAGATGTATCTGTTGGATTGAAATAGACATTGCGTGGTACAGAGACAGAGGGGGGAGACAGCCCCTGTGATTGGGGTTCGGTTCGAACCGAGGGAGCTGCCTGGCTGCCTGGCTGGCAGGGGGGGCAGCGGGGTAAGGGGTAAGGGGGGAGTGGGGTTCATGTTCATGTTCTCGTCCGCTCATCGAGGCGTAGAATTAAACTGTCAAATTCAACAAATAACTGGATTTGTTACACTGAAATGTTCGAAATACGGAAAATGGCAAACGGGAAAGCGGAAAAACGGAAAACTAGACCAAAATCAGAAGCTCAAACGAAGATTTGAGTGCCCTTTGGGGGGGGGGGGGGGGCGGCATGCTCGTATTACATGGTGTTATCCTCCGAACGGAGACCCAGTGATGCTCTGGGTTGATTATTTCTGCATTCTCAGGCAAGGAAAGGATCTTGGGATCGAAACGAAGAAGTGTCTGCGGGAGGAGCTTTCGATCCGCAGTCTAGAATCTAGCACAGAACATCGTAGAGCATACGGAGCCCTACAATGGATAGCACATATGTACATATATCGCATATCGTATAATGCTTATCGTTTAGACCGCCACCGGATGTCGTTCTTCTTGGAATTTCGATGTTTTCGGTCTCTCAAGGTCGCATTTTGTTAAGTGCGCCATTCCGTTGCCCGTCCGTTTGATGATAGTCCCCCACGTTGTACTTCCTCTTGGATACGGGATATGGCACAAGCCCCACTCACCCAATCACCCACTCAACCACTCAACCATTCGTTCCACTCATTTCTATTCTCATTTTCCTCTCATCTGGTTTGGCTTCCTTCCTTTCTCGCCATCCCCCCACCCCGCCACCCCGCCACCCCGCCACCCCGCTCTCCTGTTTCCCCGCTTCCTCGATTTATCAACGCAAAAGTTTCGTTCGGCTTCGACTCGAAATAAATGTTGATTCAACATTTCAACATTTCGTGGCTTTAATTTCAGCTTCTGGCTTGCTCTCTTTTTAATTTTCAGTATCCAGGCACGTGTCCCCCCGCAAAGGACCGGAACGCCAGAGGGAGTGCATCCTGCGCACCGCTCCCGACGATACATTCGGCGATAGAGAAAGGTTTTTTCTCTCTGGAACTCATATATCATTTGGCTTTCATGTGGCCGCCTGATTTGGGGTGAGTACGGGTTACACACACACACACACACATATATCTAGAGATATATTTTTTATTGGGGATCGTCCGGGAGGGGGAGGGGGAGGGGCGGGGGGCCATGGAAACGATTAGGAAGAGAGGATCTGCATTGCAGACAGAAAATGGTACAGGATACGATATGGAATGATATTTTTGTTGGGTAAACTTTGGTATTTTTTTTTGGTATTTTACTCCTTAAATAACATCACGCTACTCTGCTACATTTCGATGCCATTTTTCTAGTATTTTCGTCTGCCGATGTGCCCCATTGGTAGTTTAGTATTTAAATACTGCTCTTGGTATCACAGCAAGGAGAAGTTCCGCCCCAAGAGAGTGTCCTACCCACTTTTGCCCACTTTTTTCCGCTGATAATTTTGCATGCCATAAATTCCGACCAAAAAAACGGGGAATAATTTCGCGGGGGCGTTGACAAGTTTTTTCACGCTCTCGCGTGTCTGTTCTTTTTGCCCTTTCGCTTTTTATTTCCCGTTTTAGTTGATTAAACACAACAACTACTCTGCGCTCTTGCCAATTGGCCAGTTGTTGGCCCGACTTTCTGCTGAAAATGCATTTTCCAGGGCACAAAAAACGTCGGCGAGTCCGCCTGGGAGTGGAGAGCATTAAGGGGTATGTCACACACACACACACACACATACGTGACGTGGCAGAGGCAGAGGCAGAAGGCCAGGCCCCCCCACTGTTGAAGAGCTCCCCATTTATGGTACTAAAGGGGTCTGAACTATCATAATTTCCTGGGAGATTCCTCTTGATGTAAGTCCACTTGGGGCTTCTGTTTAGTTCCCCTGATATTTATGATGTTTCTAATGTTCGCTGTGAGGCTTTTAGGGGGAAACATGGAACCCACACAATTAGTTCTATGCTCAGGCATCGCTTTTGGCGTTTTGTTCCATGAAACTCCATCGAAGGGCAGATCTAACAATTTTTCGAACGCTTCAAAGCAAACCTTAAAAGAACTATTGAAACCATACGATGATTACCGCTTGCTGACGGGAAGATACAATTACCAATTGATACTAAATTATCAGATGAAACGCTAGAAAGAGGCTAAAATAATGCTTATTTTGGGATTGAATATCTTTGAAAATGGTTGAGGAAATAAATCAAAGAAAACCTTTGAAGAAGTGTGAGAACAATCTGGAAGGTTTACCCAAGAAACTTTACCGAATTGAAGATGTGTTATTGTATCTTTCGATCCTTTGGATATGCTTCAGATAAGAGGCTTCAGAGGCGGTCAAAGGATGCATTATGGGATCTGCAAGTACATATGTTTTCTATAGGAACCGGGAATGATCCTGTCTCCTCGTTCTCACTGGGAGCACGTCTCTTTTGGGACCCTCTGTAGGGCATTCCTTGGTTCGAGCACATCCTCTGGCTCTTAATTGCTGCTGCTGCTGCTGCTGTTGCTGTCGATTCCCGATGTAGTTGCCGACTGTTTCTTTATCTCAGTGCCCATAAATAATGGGAATTCTCTGCAAAGTTCGAATCGATGTGCATAAAATATACGAGTGCCAGCCTGCCTGCCGGAGAGTGCCACATGCTCGTACTATATCGATGTTGTTGCTGTTGCGAGTGTGTTACCGCACATTGAATAAAAGTTACAAAATCCAAAATTAATGAACTCGTCGATTTGGCAACGGCAGCGGGGCAGAGGGGCAGGCGACGACTGCTGCTTCGTGATTTCGTGGTTCAATAACATTTCAATTGCGTTGACATAATTTTAATTAAATTAAAATCGAAAACAACAGCAACACCAGCAGCAACAGCAAACACACAATGAATTTTGAAGAGGGATACAAATAAATAAATAAAAAAACGAGGTGGAACGTTGTGAGTTGCTGCGGACACCGCAACTCTACGGTTATACCCGATACTAAGTCAGTATGGCTCTCCTCCGGCAGACGCCGCTAATATTAAACGACACGACAAAGAGAGCGTGCGAGAGAGACAGAAAATCAGTCTGAGCGTGACGTCACGCGCTGCGTAGCCACTGCAAATTGATTTGTTTCCTTTGGCTATAAAAATTATCTGATCTGATCCAGATTCAGCAATCTGATAGATATGGTCGTTATCTATGATTCTGCGTTTTTAGTTTTCTCAAATCTGCAATATTGTGGATGCAACAGATTTTCGTCCTTTGTGGGGGCGGAAGGGGGTGGGGCGAAATTTTGAGATAAAGGTTTTATAGTGAGATCTAACAGAAGTGCGGATCCAAGATTTGGTTACTCTAGCTTTAATAGTCTCTGAGATTTGTGAATATCCCCAGATTTGCATCCTTTGCGGGGGCGGAAGGGGGTGTGGCGAAATTTTGAAACAAACTCGTCTCGGTCCGATATATTAGGAGTGTGGATACCAAATTTGGCTGCTCTAGCTTTTATAGTCTCTGAGATCTAGGCGCTAATGTTTTACTCTAAGCAAAGCCGCCTATGCTACCTGTGTGTTAGAGAGAGACAGGGCGAGAAAAAATGAAATTGTTTTCTTGATGCTGGCTATAATAATAATACGATCGAATTCAGATTCTGCAGTCTAAAAGATATGGTCATTCTCTACGATTCTGCGTTTTTAGTTTTCTCGTATCTTTAAAATTGTGGATGCCACAGATTTTCGCCCTTTGTGGGGGCGGAAGTGGGCGGGGCAAAGTTTTGAAATATTTTTGGAGCAGTGACATATTACAGAAGTCTGGATCCAAAATATCGTTGCTCTAGCTCTTATAGTCTTTGAGCATTAGGCGCTGAAGGGGACGGACAGACGGACAGACGGACAGACGGACGGACGGACAGACAGACAGGGCTCAATCGACTCGGCTATTGATGCTGATCAAGAATATATATACTTTATAGGGTCGGAAACGATTCCTTCTGGACGTTACACACATCCACTTTTACCACAAATCTAATATACCCCAATACTCATTTTGAGTATCGGGTATAAAAACAAAAGCAAAAAGCAAAAAACCCGAATGAATGCAAAAAACAAAAAAAAACCACGCTTGCGTCTTGCTAACGGGGTTAACCAACCAAAAGGCTATAAAAACCCCCCCAGGGATTCGTGAGCATTTGCATTTGGCCTCAGAGCTGCAGTACTGCACAGTGTGCATTCGTTAAAGTAATCGTCTTTGGTCGCACTGTGTCCCAAAGACTCTACGAAGCCTATAGATCCTCCACAGATCCTCCCCGGAAATACGATCCCATGCCCATGCCCATCAGATGGTGTCTCTCTGTCTGGCCTCTCACTGTGACAGACCCTCTCCCTCTCCCTGTCTCTGTCTCTCTCTGCCTTCTCTGTCTCTGTCTCTGTCAACCCGGAAGCGATAGCACAGCCTCCAATCGGCGGAAGATAACTCCCCCACGACCATGCACCCAAAAAACAATAAAAATTACAATTTAAATAAATAAAATATGTAATAAACGAAAGAACGAGAGAGAGAGAGACAGAGAGAGAGCGATCTTTCCTTCCCTGTCTCTCTTTAAATGGCATATATCTCTTTCTTCTGTCCCTGCCCCATGCCCCACAAATGCCCCTGAGAACGCGTGTAGATTGTGGGTGTGGGGGTGTGGGTGTGCATTGTGTTTCCCCTTTTGCATACATTTTCCACAAAATCGCAGCGTAAAACCATTGTGGCCATTAATCATAGTACATATACTAAGTATATTAATATATACTAAGTGTAGTACAAGTACTATACGGCACAGGCACAGATTAAGCGTTGATTGACGTGCCAGGAGAATCTGTCTGTGTAAACTATGAGAGAAGAAAGACTGCAGACGGAAAATGGCAAATGGAAAGATTTTAAGATCAATGCTCGGAATAGTACGTGTATCTTATGGATTGCAGCATCTAGCTGCGATTGAACAAAACGATTAAAGATTCAAGATTCAAGATTCAAGAATTTCCATGTCTTGCCATTAAACGAGTAGGTTTTCCTGTTGATAGAGATCGCAGAACCAATTCGTATATCGATTATCGGACTCTTTTCCTGCATTTCTTCGAGGGATGAGCCATGATGGGATTGAAAAGAGGTGCTATATTGGTGGATATCTTGTAGATACCGATACAGATACAAAAACACTTACCCGCAAATTGTGTTGCAGAACAAAGAAATTATTGCGGTAGGTCGAAGCCATTGCTTTTATAGGAAAAGAGTCGAAGGTTTCGCTTCGTTTTGATTGGGAAAACATACCAAGATACTCTCAGTAACTGTCTGCCACATACGAGTCTGTAGATTCGTATTGTGTTAGAGAGATGTCTAGAGATTCCTGGCCGGATAGATACATAGCTGGATAGATGCCATCTCTGGCTTTGTCTCAGGATATGCTCTGGCATCTCTTTACCCGAGAGAGCGGGAGAAAAGGTTCGCCTTTTCTTGATTGCTTTATAATAGCAGGACTCACATTTCTGTGAATCTGTGCAAACTATCCATCCCCCCATCCGCTCATCCGCACCTACATCCATTTATTCATTCATTCATTGCGAATATCATGCCAATTGCAATTACCGCCCTGACGGAGAGGAGTGTGGATGTGTGAATGTCTGAACGTGGGGATGTGTGGATGGGCGTTCACTTTGATTAATACCATCATTTGGCCTGCCTTCTTGTCCACTTAATGCAATAGCAATAACAATTATTTATCAATTAAGCTATTACATTTCATTCAATTCAATTCAGTTCTCGATTCGATTCGATTCGATTCGATGCGATTTCCATGCGAAATAACCTTCCACATTCCATATCCGCCCCTTCCGCCCCCCCCTCGATGGGCCTGCGCCTGGAAATTTATGCGAAAAGTTCAATTGCGTTCAAAATGTCAATAATTTGAGGTTGTGTTGCGGAGTGGAATGTATTTTGTCTCATGAATTTTGCATGTGACAATTTATTTATTTATTGGAATGGAACTACGGAGCGCCAACCGCGAGGCGACTTCTGCTCTTCTGCTGTTCTGCTCTTCTGCTGTCCTATTAAATGG